TTTATTCGGGGCTTCTTTTATTGGGGGATTGTCGGGGTTTTGTTGCCCTTCTCCCCCATCGCGCTGCGTGCGTCGGTTTCGCTTCGTCGCCTGCCACGGTTAACTTTCCTGCCACTCGGTTTAACTCCTGAGGTCGCCGTGGATGTCGCTACGAGCGCTCCCCTCGCCTTTGCCGCCCCTCGCTGGGGTCGGCTTTCCTCCTCCCTGGGCTCCGTGTGCCTGTGCGTGTGCTCCGAGCCTCCTGAAATCGCGCTTTCCTTTCCAAGAGCTATGCATTAATTGTAACAAGGTAAGGCTCGCTGTTCCTGCTCCCTCATGTGCATGTCTGAATACGGTGTTTCCTTAAAGGCGAACTATGTATTTGCTTCTGAACGGTGGAGTCGTGTGTAGTCCTTCCATTGATTAGTACTTGTGAAAAAGAAGCGTAGAACTTGCAAAAAAAAAAAAAAATAGACCTATTTAGCAGGAGGTCTAGCTTGGCTTTCTAAACTGATCTGCTTTTCTCTGTTGCAGCTTCTGTGATGCTTAGAAGAATAATCTCTGTCTTATTATGTTTTCCCTTTTCACAGACCTGTGAATGACCATAGGCTTGGCTTGACCTTGATTTTGATGGCTTTGTTGGAAGATCTAACGACGTGATTGCGTTTCATGAAGTGATTGCTCTCCAGCCTCTGTGGCTTAGCGTATAAGCCACTTCTGCCACACTGTCACTCATGGACAATTCAGATTTTTTTTTAAGCAAACCTTTTGGCTATTCTTCTCTTCTCACTTCCCCGTTCCCCCCTGTTTCTCCTTAATGTTGGGAGCCTTATTCTATGCTTCGATGTGATTGATAGTCCTGCTGCTTCGTGCTGCCGGTTTCTGTTTTAAAGTACAATGGCTCTAAGTGGCAACTGCAGGACTTACCTTCCTCCTCGAGAGCAGGGGACTGGGCTGCACTCCTTCCCGGAGGTAGTGGAGCTAAACGTGGGCGGCCAGGTTTACTTCACTCGCCACTCCACCTTGGTTGGCACCCCTCACTCCCTGCTGTGGAAAATGTTCACCCCAAAGAGAGACACAGCCAACGATCTGGCCAAGGACTCCAAGGGAAGATTCTTCATCGACAGAGATGGTTTCCTTTTCCGCTACATTCTGGACTATCTCAGGGACAAGCAAGTGGTTCTGCCTGACCACTTCCCAGAGAAGGGAAGGCTCAAGAGGGAGGCTGAGTACTTCCAGCTCCCGGACTTGGTCAAGCTCCTGACTCCCGACGACAACAAGCAAAGCCCCGACGATTATTGCCACAGTGACTATGAAGAGGTCTCCCAAGGCAGTGACACGAGAATATGCCCACCCTCATCGCTCTTACCGCCTGATCGGAAGTGGGGATTCATTACCATCGGGTACCGGGGGTCGTGCACTGTTGGCAGGGAGAGCCAAGCAGACGCCAAATTCAGGAGGGTCCCGAGGATTTTAGTTTGTGGGAGGATTGCTCTGGTCAAAGAGGTCTTTGGAGAAAGTTTGAATGAAAGCAGAGACCCAGACAGGGCTCCAGAAAGGTACACCTCCAGGTTTTATCTCAAGTTCAAGCACCTGGAGAGGGCTTTCGACATGTTGTCCGAGTGTGGATTCCACATGGTGGCCTGTAACTCCTCGGTGACAGCTTCCTTTGTCAACCAGTACACAGACGACAAGGTCTGGTCCAGCTACACTGAATATGTCTTCTACCGTAAGTACAAGACATTTCTGAGGGAAATGCAGCTACCTGCTTTAAGCCGCTCTCTTCTGCTGACTGTACGATTCTCAAAGCACAAAGAGTGCAAATTTCCTTCTGTCCGCTGCGGACTGAGGCTTTATTTAGATCTGGAGGGGGGATACGCTTCAGTTCAAGCTTTCAAAACGTAAAGCAAGGCTGAACTCAATGGCTTGGTCTTGGCTAGGTGGCAGCACAGACTGCCGAAAGCGCCCCGTCCTGAAGGATGAGGTGGCTGAAGGGTGCTGCTCTCTCCGGCTGCGTAAATCAGCCGTCCGACTGCCTCGCACGCTTCCCCCGTACGTGCGGGAGGCAATATAAGCCTCGCAAACACACTGCAGATTTAATTACAGAAAATCTTCAAATGGGATTCAATTTACAAAGGTAATAGCTGCTTGATAATGGTCAAGCACAGTCAGCCAAGCCATCTGTCAACAAACCTGACGCACTTGCAGACGGGGAAGGGAAAACAAACCCCCATCCCCATGGCTGCTTTTCAACAGGAGGCCTTCTCGGAGCCAGCTGATGTGCTCCGAAAGGAGGGCTCGGCGCGGAGAGAGGCAAGTTGCTGCGCCTTGTTATGCAACATGCCCACGAAAAACAAACTATCCTCATAATGAGGAGTATCTGCCCCGCTTACCGCAATCACATCAGATCACATACTGTTGTGGTAATTTTAGCTGATAGCTCTAGCAGGCTCATTAACTTTGTAAGTTGATATTCAGGTAGAGGCACCGTTACCAATGGTAACACGAGGGTAATTTTGATTCTGTAATTCTGTATCAGAAAATCATGCCACAACTGCTGTGCTTAGATATTTGAGAGCTTCATGAGGCTGTTTTCTTCCATTTTCATTTTGAGCGGGTGAAGGATGGAACATTTCCCCCATCCATTTGTAGAAATGGGCTTTAGCCAGCTGCTGCCTTGGACGGTGGGGTTTAGAGAAGGATAACGCTTCGCCGGCGGACCTGCTGCGCTGTGTGCGCTGCTTACAGTTGGCAGGCTCGGTAATGTGGAGAGCTGACAAAAGTTTTAGGTGAAAGATGTATCAGGAAGTGAATAGTTTGTGTGTAATGCTGGATTCAGTGCCATCTACCCTCGTGTCCGGGCTCAACAGGCAGCCCTAATCTGCTTAGGTAATGATGCTTAAGTTAGCATCCTGAAAAACCGTCTGTATTTTTGACATGCAGAGATTTACTTAAAATTAGTTTTCTAGCTGGATTCCTTAGGAAAATGCTTCTAAGGTCATGGATCTGCTTATATTCTGACAGGGATGGGTGATTTCTGTTATCAGGCTGCTTCTGTTTGAAATCATAGTGCCTTGTACAAGTTATAGGAGCAGAATTAATGTAGTTAAAGGAATGGATTAGAATAAATTGTGTTTGCATTTATATTTCAAATCAGAAAAAAAAAAAAGTAAGTTCGTTATAGGCACAGTGGTTTTCTAATTGAAGAGAGGATGAAGGTAGGTTTTGCATGAATTAGCATAGACTCCTGATTTTCATATTACTCAGATTTTCACCTTCAAGGATTGCTCATTGCTTCCACATCCCTACAGCTGGGGTTAGGAACCGAGATGAGGGGTACCTTAGAAATTTTGGAGAGTGAGAGTCTACAGTCGGTGTCACAAAATCTTTACTCACCAATGCAGGGAAAGCCCAATCCAATTAAAGTTCCTGGAAAGACTCTTATCCAGTTCAACAGGCTTTGCATTTGGCTCATATCAGTTTTGTGGATTTTTGACACCGATACAGTTTCAAGAGATGGATTTTTCAAAGGGTCCTTCCCTAGGTAAAAGCTAAAGCAATGACCGTGATGCCAAATCACTCTCTTTTATCTCGATCCAAATCGTTCTGTTACACTTTGGGCCATTTTCTGCTTGCTGGCATAAAGCTGCCGGTGGGCTGCAGAGCTTCTCCAGCCCTGTGCTTGGGGTCTGGCTGCAGTCAGACGACCTGAGAGCAGGCACCATACCTACAGAATTCACCTGGAGCCAAAGAAACCCCTTTCCGAATTTCCCAAAGTCATTTCATTTGAAACTTTGAGGACCAATAAAATTGACATCTGGCTTCCAGTGGAACATTACAACTTCTCCGCAGCTGCTTAGCCATAATTATTTAATTAGAAGTTGCCAACTGTGTCTGTATAAGCATTAATTCATCAAGCTGTTGTGATCAGGTTAATGTGCCTAAACCTGGGAGGTGTCTAACACAACTGGGTAGGCAGATGCAGAGGTGGTCTTTGCAGAGCTGCTTAGCAGCTCCTGTGAAATGCACGGTTGGAGGGACTCTTCACAGCTGGGAGAGGATGATTATTTCCAAAGGAGGAAGAATAGAGGGAGGAATATTTTTTTGAAACGCCAAATACGCTGTATGCTCCAAATACTACTCAGAAGGTGAATGCCTGTGGTTGGCATGAAGATAAAGAACATTCTTCATGGGCAAATCCTTTTGAAAGTAGATCAGATGGACCGAAGGGGGTGTAAACTGTGCAGCTACTCACATGGGTACAGTGTGTGCTGTTAACAGAATTGCACGATTAATATTGCATGACGTTTTTCTCCCCGTGTTCGAATTTAGGTGCTATTAAGGCTAATGGGAGATTCATGTTCTCTGTGGAGGAGGCTTTCCCAAAATGCAGGGCACGCAGAAAGCATCCAGCACAGCAAACCTGCCGCTGTTTTTCTGAGTGGGCGGCAAGACGGGCTGCAAAGCCGGCGCTCGGGGTGACAGTGCGATCCTGGGAGCGCAGCTGGGCTCCACTCCCGTTTCAAACAGGCCGATGCAAAGGAGGGTTTGGAGACAGGCTGTGTTGATACAGTAGAGCCATAATTAAACAGTTCTTTGAGACACGGATCCTGCGTGGTGGGCAGGCAGGAGGCACAGCCTGGCTGCTGCTCACAGGTGGAGTATGAGTTGAGGAAAGGAGGTGAGGTTCTGCTCATGCATTTTCTTTCCCTCCAGTTTCTTTTCTGTCAAAGACGTTTACTTAAATTTTATACTGGCTAAGGTTGGATTTCTGACTTGAACCATTTTGTGGTGTCCCTCCCCCCGTGGTTTTGATGATCTTGAAGTAGAACCTCACCTCCAAACACTCTCATTTTTGAAGAGGGTGATAGCCTGTGCTTGGATCTTAGTTTTTAAATGTTTTTGACCTTTATGACGGGATGAATCAAAAATATGCACTTGAACATCTGATAAATATTGTGGTGGGGGTAAGGGGTGTTGAAGCATGTGGGCTGGCTCAGTCTTTTGTAGCCTGGCCCCATTCCTGACTTTGCAGCGGCAGCAGCACGCTCTTTTCCACCACCTCCCATAACCTACGAACCGGCCCTTTCTGCCTGGTTCCAGGCTTGCAGCATTGCCAGTGGGTGACAGCCCTGCACGTCGATGCTGTGATTGCCAGAAGAGCAAAATAACAGGTTGGAAACAGAGAAGGCTGTAGCTTCAGACAACGGGTCAGCAACACGGCAGGCTCTGTGCGTGTGTCTGCAGAGCAGCTGGGAACCGAGTGACATGGCAGTGGGATGGAATGGGATGGGATGGGATGGGATGGGATGGGATGGGATGGGATGGGGAGAAACTGCATGGCAGCCCCTGTCTGCATATTGCTATTGCCCCCAAAACCCTGATGTCATGTCCCTTCTCTCCCTGCTTGTCAGCGGCCGAGACTGCAATAGGCTCTCAGAACAGCTCACAGTACAGAGGGGAGATCTTGACTCTAATATATCACATCAAACCACTCGCTTTTACTCTCGTGGCTCAGCTGTGGGTAGCACCGATAAGGAGCGCGGTTGGCACCTCAGTGAGCAGGTTGCCCTCTGCTCAGCTGGAGCAATAAAGCCAGGGGAGAGGAGAGCTGCTAGGCAAAAAGGAACAAATATAGAAGAAGTACAGATGGAGGAAAAGGAGAGAAAATTCACACACAATCTGGAGAGAAAAGACTAGGGAAAAGATGCGGGTACTGACAACTATGCCAAGACACGGCGAGGGGGAATTTGTTAGATACATCAAGCCTTCAGTTTAACCCAAATGTTTTCCCGCAACAAGCAGGTGGAGAGGGGTTGACAAATGCTCCTTCAAGTTCACTAGCAGACAAGAATACAGAGATTTAGACAGCTGATGTCCCTGCCCTTCCTAAGGCCGTGTTTCAAAGTCTGAGCAAGCACGAGAAAATCAGGACGATCGGTCTGATTTGCTTAAGCCTTGCCTTGCGCCAGCCACTTCACATCTGCACACGTGGAGCAGCTCAAGCACCTGCAGTGTTCAAAGGAAACTGTGAGACGTTCCTGGCACTGTAGCTCTGAAAGCCAACGATTAATTAACAAGGCTCTTGCTCCTGAAGGACATGTGCTGCCTCTGCTCGCTCTACGGATAGTTGTAAATTTTGGCCTTCTCACTTTACTCTTTCAAGAAGATGCTGGCTGGCGTGCTTTTCACTCACTGGTAGGAGGCTGATGGGCAGAGATGTTTGTTAAGTAGGTTTCAGATTATCCTGGGATAAACAGATGAATCCTCTGCGGTGGGGCTGTGCGGGAGCGAAGAGAAACACCAAGTGGTACCCTCTGCAAATGCGCTCTGATGGCCATTCGTTGGGCATGTATCTTGGGATAATCCTGGTGTCGTTTATATGAGATGATCCACTCGGGATTAATGCAGCCAGCTGCAGCCCGTGACTGTGTATGCGTGAACAGACCTAAAAGATCCCGTACTGATGCACCTACCACTGACTCATAAATGACTTGTGTGGTAGAAATTTGACTAACAAAACTGAATGCCCTTGCACAGTGACCCCTACAGCTCTGCTGTCAAACGGGTTAGATGTGGAAGAGGAATATCACCTATTTTCCTTTCTCTTTAAAGTGATACTCTTCTATGTTCTAGTAGTTCGTTCTGTCTGGTTTTATATCAGTGAATATCAAAATAACCCGAAAGATAACAAAATAAACTCTAATCCAATGAGTAATGCAAGCTTCCTTTCCTGTTGACAGGAGATGTTTCTGTTTCCAGGTAATTATTGTCATCATCAGTGAATCTGGTCCATCTTGCCAAACAAAATTCTCTCGCACAAGGATGCTCGTCTGCAGGTGGCGGGGCTGTAATCAGCCAAGTCTGCTAGCATACTCGTGTCAGAAGGACCTTGCTCCTAGCTTTTTCGGTCAGACTTGAGTGATGGTTGATTTTTTCCTAGTTTGTCATGGCAGACTGAAAAGCCTGTAGAGTTTGCTGGCTTGATAAGACTTATTCCATAGACGAAAAATGCTATTATTTATTAGAAACCAACCGTGTCAAATCTGATTGTTAGATCAGTCTAACAGTCTCCAGCTTAATGGATAACTGGAAGCAAAAATTGGTAAACAAGTTGGTTGGATATAGGACTTGGAGTTCATTCTAACAATGTCTGGGTAGCGATGTTCAGGAACGGGCAAGGATGGCTTTTGGGTACTGGCCTTTGACTCTACCCAGTATTCACGGCATGGCTGGTTATTTCATAGCCCTTGGGATACAATCTGCATTGGCCTGAATGTTTGAGAGAAACGTTCAGCATGATTGTCCAGATCTGTTACCTTACTGCTCCAAAATACCACTTGGCAACGCAAATCCTCCCTCTGTCACAACACCTGCGCAGCAGCGAGACGGATTTCCTGCCAAGGAAAATCCTTACCCCTCTGTCCCGTGCCTGTGGAGCGCTCTGCGGTGGAAGGGGGTTTGCGAGTTCAGGAGATAAAACCAGCGCTGCCCGAAGAGGTTGTTGAGTGGGTTTTGATCTGGTCTTTGCATCTTCTCTCTCCTTCCAAGCTGTCAGGAGGGCTTGGTGCAGTGCGGGTATCGGGGAGGCAATGGAAATGTGCGCGCAGGGTTCAGCGAAGCGAGGGCCTGGCCGCGGGCATGGGCTGCTTCCCCAGCCACCGCCTCTGCGGCTGCGGGATCAACAGGTACGAACGGCAGGCAGAACCTCGCCTGTGAAGCTTGCATCGCTGCTGCTGCTCTGCGATCCAGAAGAGACTGTAATGGCTAAAGGATTAACCAAGGAGGGATGGCATTTAGGGGAAAAAAAAAAAACCAAAAACCCAATGTATTTTAAACTGCAGTCTTGAGCGGGATGTTTTCCAGGAACAGCGTGCGTGAGGTCCCACAGCACCGTTTCAGTAGGCTGATCAGAGGAGGGGGTTGCTGTAACAAGTGATGTGTGCCTGTGAGGTGTTCCCTCGCTGGTGTCCTGGGGAGGTGTGGAAGTAGGGAATGCCCAGCCTGCTGCCCTGGGATGGCAGAGTCACGGGTGGAAGTGGCCCGGCGTCCTTGGGTTGGTCTCTGCGGAATGGTGTGGAATGGCTCCCACCAGCCGCTTTTCTGCAGCTTTATTCAGCCTGGTGAGGTCTGGCCTTTTTTAAAATTTGCTGAAATGTAGTTGTGGTTCTTATGAAAACAACATCTGAAAGAGCAAAGGAGTGTAAATAAGAAAACATAACACAGATATTTGCCATTCAATGAATATCTGCAACATATTGTATACGCAGACAAACACTTCCTTGTAGCAGGTTGGGTTGTTTTTTTTTTTTCCCCCAACCATCCTGGATTTGTTTGAATTTGTAACCACAACATTTTCTCAGTTTCTTTGCCTTTTTTTCGGCTTTTCAAGTTCAAGGCTAACATACAGTAAACAAGGAGAGAAGCAGCAAAATCTAAATTACATCTTTGCAAAGAGCGAGAGTAACCTTTTATGAAACTTGTTCAAAACCGTATTTTTTGTAAAGGAAGAAAATAAAATGAAGTGAGTTAGACTTGGTGGAATTGCTTAAATTGTCACTAAGGTGTAATGGCAAATGAGTTGGCTGGCCCAAGGAATCCTGCTTGAGTGATTTCACCCTGCTACTTTCAGAAGATGTGCTCAAGTTAATGCTGGAATCCAATAAAACATTGCTGCCGTTATTATGCCTCCTAATGTTAACCCAAGGGCTTCAGGAACAGTGGAGCTCGAGCTTCAAATCTGATGATGTAAGGGAGCATGTTGTTTTGATGATTTGGGAAGTGCTGAACACCTGCAATGCCTCTTCAGACCATAAAGATTCTGGTCTGAATGTGAATATGCAATATAAAAGCTTAGTGCATAAGATAATGTCTTCCTTCACTGGTCCAGTTAGGAGGCTGGTGTTTATTTCTGTGCTAATGGCCCTTACCAAGGCCTTCCTAGGGACTTTGGACTTTTCTTTTGGTACTAATGTCGTTTGGTTTTACCTCTGCTAGTAGGATCTGGGTAAATAAGAGAGAATGAACAGCAGTATACTGGGCATCAGAGTACTGTGTAGGCTGTTTTCCTTAGTCTTCCCAAATTAGCTTGTTATATTAGCTTTCTATTAATGTTTAAAGGAAAGCGAGAAGTCTAGAATTGTGAGAATATGTTTTACATTTCAGTAGCGGGGTATAAGCTTTATCGAAATACGCATAAATATAAGCTGTTCAATTAGAGTGTGATCCTGTTGACCACTTTCTATTGACTATCCCTGATGTAAAATGCCTTTCCGTCCATAAGCCCAGTGCTGGCGTGAGCACTCTACAGCTGTAATAACCGGCTCGACTTAGGAAGCCGGTTCATAAATCACTAGTGTTACAAATTTTCCAGTGCTGCTTCTGAATCTACTAACAAAGCCATTAGCGATTTATAGGAGCTCATTGATTAGCTGCTAAGGCAGCTAAAAAATTCCCCTACCCAAAATATAGTGAAGAAAACCCTGGCCATCCTGGTTTGCAATCCATCCTGAAAAACCTCGAAAACAAACTCCTTTCAGTCTGCAGTGAAGATTTCTATAGCTGTGCTCCAGACACAGGGCTCTGGAGTTTGTCGGAAAAAAAAAGTACAACATGCCCAAACCTTTAATTTCAAAGAGGAAAATGAACCTGAGTTTTGGTGCGTGCTTCTAGAAGAACAGAATTACTTTGGAGGGAGCGGCAGCCCGAGGGACGCTCTCATCCTGGCTCTGAGCTCGGGCTGTGGGTGGGAATGGAGAACCAGCACAGCTGTTCGGGCGTTAGTCTTTGGCCAGGGCCTGAAAGCCAAATTTAAAGAAAAAAATCTCACTCTACATGTTTTGGAGGAGACTTATTTCAAGACTTCAGATTGAATTTCCATCAAACTGAACCAGAGTATATTTTTACACCAGAATTAAATCAGGCCGAAATAGAACCCAGTGGAACATGCTCATTTGGACTGAATTTTGCACTTTAAATATTCTCAAAGCCAAAACTCAAAGCAAAGCTTTGGGTGAGCAGAAAGTATGTCATCAGAGAGCTTGAAAAACATGTTTATTTGGGCTCCTACGAAGGGAACTTCACTGAATTTTTCTCAGCTCAGGGTTTTCAACTGGTGGTGTGGGAAAGTCCAACGCTTTGTTCCACAAAGGACCAGAGGGATTGCAGAGGCTAATCCCGAGACTGGGAAGTGAAGGTGGCTCTTTGCAAATTTAGTATTTGCGTGCTCGTGTGAAAATGTGATTACTGATCGTCAGTTAAACTAAATATAAGATCTGTATCGATAATGGCTGTTTTCATATTACATTTGAACAGTTTTCTCTTGCAGTGCTGCTGCCTCAGTGCGGTGTCATATGGCAAATAAGCGTAGGCTGGGCATCAGAGCAGAAGACTGGGGCTTCTGAAAAAACTGAGATGCTTCACTGAAGATCTAAAACCTCCTTGCTTATAACATACAAAAATCAATAAGGAGGAATTTGATAAGTTGCTGATTATTTTATAGGTATGTTGGCTTTGGTTTTCTTTGGTTTAAGTTCTTAGTTTTTAAGTGATCATCAAAGACAGTGCAGGGAGCTGGTCCTCAGGAGGGTGCCTGGTTCTTTCCGTTTGGTACGATGTTGCAGCATAATTGTGGGGGGAAAAAAATTACCACTGTCTTCTTGCAGAACTGAAGAGTGAATTCTGTTTCTGAATTAATGACC